ATGGCAACAGTCCCTGGAGCATAATGCTTAAGTGCCACCAAGTATTGTAGAAGTTCTTTGTATGAATCCTCCCAATTTTCGAACACTATTTCAATCACCTTAGTTCTAGCTATTCATGCCTTCCTTTACGAGGGAGTATAATTGTATCATGTAACGATATGCGAGATTATTGTACTCACCTTCAATGACGGATTATCGCTAATGATAGACAAAATTTCATCCCATATTAACTAAGAGCTAAGTTTATGATGATCCTGCATCAGATTCGTGATAATACAAGTGTGAGCTGGACCCATAGAACATATCTTCCAAGAATCACTCCTCTTTTGGTAAGATGTTGTCGATCAGAACGGGAAGACCTCATTACGACAGAAGATCTTGTACCTCGTCACATTAGTTCGATTGACCCTATAATCAGCTGATAATTCCATGTGATACCTTTTAATAGGTCTTACACAGTCTTCTTTTGTGCGAAATTTGTCTCCCTCTTTTAATGATCCTTGTGTTTGCATATGCGGATTATGAAATATATCTGATGATGGTTCATCTGTACTCAAGTTCAAGGTTATCATGTGTTGAGGTGGACAATAAACATGACTAACATGCAATGGCTCTTGCTCGTGGTCGATGGTGTCATCATTCACCATTTAATCAACCAATATCTCTTTTTCTTCTTCTTCCTTGTCAACAACATCAACTTCAGCTTGTTTATCATCGACTTTATCTTGTTCATCGTCGTCAGTTTCACAAAAAACTTGTGAAGGATCAACAATATGAGACAACTGATTTTGTTGTTGTATAATATAGAGCTCAATATCGTTAAAACTAGAATGTTCATGACTGAGAAACATATTATGAACATCTTCATCATCTCGGATCTTTAGCTGATAAAACTTAACTTGGTTGTCGGCAAAAAAGACTGGATTTTTGTAGATGATTTGTGCCACCGCACTACACTACAATTTCTTTTCTATTCTCTCTTTCAAAAGTGAAAATTTTGATCGTCTATTAATTTTAAATCGAGTAACTTTGGTACTACAAAAATTAAAACCGGTTAAGTTACACTCAAATATCTCACCATTGATATGTGCATTGATCATGTATTATGGTGATGGAGCCATGCATGCAGTATATTTTAGTGTACTGATTTTGACAATATATTGTGAGTTGTTTTTGAAACGTATTATTATGCACTTAAATAGGGATGATGATGAATCTATAAAAACAACAAATGTGCCATTCTCAATGGCGCATGCTTCTTATTTTCAATATACTCTTGTTGCATGCACGAGTCTATTGTTAAGACTACTAAGAATCTTGCATGCATGACCCTATGGTGCGGCCTACAAGGAATTTTTTTCACGATTCCCTACCAAGATTCCCTGCATGTTTCTCTACATGATTCCTTGCAACAAAGAGGCGCCATTTTGACCGACACATGATTTAAGAATACTACATGTGTCATTCCCAATGGCACATACATTGTAGAGGACATGCAAAAAAGAGTCACGTGAACTCAAAATTCCCATTTATAAATATTGATGTGTTTTTCAGCATTTCCATCAAACACACTTAATCTATCTGCCTTGTCTGCAACATACTCTCAACCTACCCACTTTGTCAGCAACAAACATTCAAAACCATTCAAAAAAATGTCTCTCCTAACCATGGGTGATGAACATCGAGAAACCATCGACAATATTGCGGAGTTTGTAAGTTTCTGTATACAGTTCATTGTGTAAAAATGCGAAAAGAATACTTGTACATTTTATTCTTGCGCCTTTTTGCTAGAAGCATAGGTTTGATCGAGAATGTCGTCACTCGCCTTGTTCAACACGAAGCTATTCACATTCCCATATGCAAACAATTAAGTTTATCTTAAATCTTCGAATTTGTTAGGCTTTATACTACAACTAACTGAAAATAATATATTTTCAATCTTTTCGTTTTAGATGGTCAGTTATGGGGATGAATTATAATCGATGTCCCAAACACGTTATAGTAGTGTATCGCAATATTTTAGACCACATTCGACCAGACAATGTATTACAACTAAGCTACTATAAATTTGGCTTAAAAATTACCAAATTACAAATCTTCTAATTATGTATTTTTCTTATGCAGTTTATCTAGAGGTCACATCTAGGTATCGACCATGAGGTTAACCTCGAGGATGCTGCAGTTTGGACAACAAAAATACCAATCATTAGGTTCACTACTGTGGAGATGCACCAGAGTGACCGTGTGAAACTACAATTCAGAATGCAGTAACAAATTCCAATCCCTCCGACGTGTTTGAGAGTCTGTCATCAACAAAGAGTCGATGCCCAATGGGGTTATTCTGATTAGAAAGATTTCACTAAAGAGACGTGTCGTCAATGGAGGAATCGATGTCGCCACATCTTAAATGAGCCTATCATACAAGGTGTTAGACCAACTCAACATTATATGAATTGGTTTAGGTCGGTTACAACGACACAGTTTGTGTCTGAGCCGAGGTATTTGATCGATCCACACCAACGAGCTTCGTCATCATACACCCAACAACAAACACACACCCAACAACCAACCCCACACCACTGCCAAACCCAACAACAATGTCAACTCACCCAAACCCAACTACCAAGCTCACAACGTCAACATACCATATACACCCAACCACTAAACATCCAACCACACCACCAATTTATGCCGCACACCCAAACACAACACCAAGAGCCTGACCCATACCACCAACAACCATACGTCGCCGCCACATCTGTCTATAGCCCTCGATAATTCATATGATTCCACCCTCATCCCACCATAACCCCCGATAATTCATACAATTCCACCCCCGTCCCACCATAGTCTCCCACCAATAAACACCCAACATCCCACCGCCAAAGTACCCAACCACTTTTTGACTTTCTTACACCACAAGAACCATTGATTTGTTTCCAAAACAATTCAATGTACCAATTCGGCCAACCATATCGTCCTCACATAACCCAACTATTACGACTCCACTTTGACAAAATGGGCACCAAATTGAATTACGGCAGCGCCGTTGGCAGCAACCCCCGACTATTGGAGATAAATGATTGAAAATATGTCAATTATGCCAGGACCCTCGCACCAACCACCTTTTCCTCAGACTAATACTCAAAGACCCCAAACAGCTTAGAAATATTATAGGAGGCTTCGAAGGCAGGCTAATGCGCTGGGATGTGGAATCAGGGGACGTTTCAATTGGGCGGATCATTGATTTTCAATTCAATTTTTGTCAGCTTGAATTTTATGAAATAATAGTATAAATAAATTAGTTTTAACTTTCTTTTTTATTTCAATTTTTAATTAAAATTAAATAAATGAGTGGCTTCTGTGGGTGACACATACACCTGATGGATGCATGTATGCGTCAACCACACTAGCTACTCCTCTTTTATTCGTTCTCAAACATGACCACTTTAATAATAAATTTGAAACATTGATTATTTTCGTCTCTAATTTTAAAAAAATTGTTATTTTAAAAAAAAAAAATTATAATTTTGGATCTCTTATTTCACAAAATGACTTTTTTAAGATTAGAAGTTATGGTTTTTACTTTTAGTCTCAAAAACAGATAAAATTATATATTTCCTCTTCAGCTTGGAATTGGGGCCAAATTTAAGTATTTTTGGAAATAAAAATCTAAGTTGGACAAAATCTAGAATAATGATGAAATCCTAAATGATCACAAATAAAGGTTATGAATGCTAAGAGAGAAGTATTGGTAAATTTTGGATAGCAGAATAACTATAAACTATCAATCTTATGGAAAATCTCTTTTGATTTAAGAAAGAGCTGATCTGAACATCTGAAAACTATAACTTATGTATCAAGCAAAAATAAACAAGATCACTGCTCAACAAAAAGTAACAGAAATGTAAAGGCAAACTTCCTTGCATATTCCACCTTACCCATCTGCTATTTCGATATATGCCGCAATACAAATGCACTCTATGTTAGTTAAGAGAAAAAGAAAAAGATGCACTAGTCCAAAAATGCATTCCTAGTTTACCCCCACTAGTGGCGTCCAACGGTTCACAATACCTGTAACTTGCAGGGTTATCTCAAGTAACATTCCGACGGCAACGTGAAATCATTGGAGGATATTGAAAGACAGATGCGGTATTCTTCGTTTCTCGATAGGCCGTACAAGACTGGTGCAGCCTAGGTAACACAAGAATAGTACAAAACAGAAGATTTCGACCCCCGCATAAAAGTAGGTTTGATGCAGTAGACATGCCTGTGATGTGAGTGTCATTCCTCTTGGCTTATTTTCTAAACTATGGCCCCAAAAACTCTGGATGCTTGAGACAGCAACAACCTTAGCAGGCATTTGACAAGTGTTACACAAGACAGAACTTTCTGATATCGTGCCACCATTGAGTCATGCGTTGATCAACTCAACAACAACTCAAATCTGTTTGTTGAGTTTAGAAAGCCACGCAATGTTGTTCATGTATAGGTTTATGTGCTTAACAGTTCCAAAAGTTGTTAAGGCAAATGTTATATAAACAGTTCTAGATGAAAATTTGACAAATGCATTCAACAAAAATTGTATCCAAGCTTATCTTCTTCTAGGAACATATAAGAGTTTTTGGATTAGTTAACACGTGAATGAATACATGTGGTAAGATGATTTGCATTTCCGAACAAGACACGATGAAGAATAGAATGAACGAATTCGAGCAACACAGTTCATGTAATGTTTCATCTAGCAACAGGTTAAGTCCAACAAGTAGCAGAACTCAATAAACTTTCTTAACATAAAGCTATAAAGCTTTTGCAGAGCGAACAGTGAATATTCAAACATTACAATCATAAAATGGTTTATAGTAATACTAAGCATGGACACAAATTACAATCAGAAAATCAAATTTTCATCATGCAGAAATTTCACTGTTCATCTAAAAGAACTTGGTACTTGTCTGGTGTACATAGTAACAGCAAATAGAATATCCTAAATTTGAGTCTTAGGAGGAAAAATTACCACCACTTTGTTGCCACAAATTGATAATATCAGTGGCTTGATTTAGAAGAATAATCATCTGCTTTTGAGATATCCATGGCTTACTCTCTAGCAACTCCTTGAGCTCTTCCCATGCGTCTTTCCTTGGCCAAAAGTAGTAAGGGCTTAGCGGAATGGTTCCGTAGCCAGGTATCATTTGGTCGAGTGCGATACCAATGTTCTTCTCCATCCAAATGAACTTCAACACGAGTTTTGGTTTATATGTTGGTTTCACAACAACTCCTAGTTTCTACATCACAACAACCATCATAACAATTAAACATTCTCATTGGAATCACAATGACATTAAAATTTATTTTTTAAGCGAAACAAAATTGACATCTTCAGTTACATCAGCAGAAGCAGTAAAATGCGTGGAATTTTATCGAATCTCATTGTTATTGCAACAAGAGATTAGTTTCACATTTCTTTTTCCATAACCACTTGTGAATATGTTTTTCCAATCTGGCTTTATAGTTGAGTTAACAATGAGGAATTTCGCTCCTTCCTCTCAGGGTATGTTTGGATCGGTGGTACACGGTGGAATAGATCGGTACATGTTTGTTATCTCATGTTCCATTGTTTCTAACATACAAATATCACAAAATCAACTTCTATAGAGCATTCAAACAAACATTTCAAAATCAATTCTACACCAAAATCAATTGACTCATCCAAAAGTGAAACCAAACCTCATTTTTCCGAAGATTCGAAATGTCAAATATAACAATATCCTAAAATTTCAGCACCCCTTTTAAACATTCTCATTGAAAAATTACAATAAAATGTGTATTCATCAAAATACAAAACACATCCTGTGAAGTACGTACATAGAAACTGACACGTCGACATTCATGATAATTTTTAAAAAAAACACATTAAACATAATCACAAGTGGTCGCGAGTGTACCATAACACGTTTTTATTCAGAGGTGTCGATGCTGCCTAGAACACAATATGCAACAAGTGCGTATCTATATCTCTAACTTACACATTAAAAAAAATACACACAAAAATCAAAGACACCGTAATCAAATTCAAAATTCTGAACCCTTTTGAAAAAAGTTATAATTATGTGCATAGAGATAGAGAGAGAGTGAAAACCTGAGACTGAGACTGAGGCGGAGTCTCGAGAGAAGGAAAGGACTCTGAGGAAACGGAATCTTCAGCAACAGCAACAGCAGAAGCAGCAAAACGGTTTGTTTTCATCTTGATGTAGTTGGTTTTGATGGGTCGAATCGAAGGAATTGAAGTGGTGGGAAGAAGAAGCATGTTTGGTTGAAGAGAGATTGATGATGATGATGCTAACATGTTCATTGTGAAATTCGATTGAACGATGATTTTGAAAAATGTTAAAGCTTACGAAGGAGAGAACGAACTGAACAGCACGATGATACAACCACAATTATCATTCTAGATAAGGAACCTGTTTTTACCCACACTCGTGTCTTTTTATTTTTGTTTTGAAATAAAATTTGATTTCTTAAATATAAGGTAAAAGAAAAGCGTGATTAATTGATTTTTTTTTAGAATGTTTTTAAATACTGGATGAGACGGGTTGGGACGATTTTTATCTCTCCTAAATTCATACTCGAATTTTTAAAGAATTCACGTTCTGCCTCAAATCCAAATAGAGATTAAGAATTAAAATTCAAATTCGTCCAAAATGAATTGGGGGTGGAGATATCATCCATTTAATAAAATTAGTTTTTTTAATAAAAAAAATTATTTTTTCTAATATCAAATTACATTGCAAATATTAAAATAAAATAATCTCAAAATTTCATACATATATTACAAAAGTATTAAATAATAAATTCAAATCAAAATATTAGTCACATATTTAATATTATAAACTATCAAAACTAATTAATAATCTACATAATAAAGTGAACGAGGTGGGAATGGAGCGGGCTCGGGGACCCATCCCATATTTTATAATCGGAGAAAATCCAAACTTGAACTCAAACCCAGTCAAAGCGGGTTTTTCCCGTAAGCTTTGGGGCGAATTCAGGTGGGTACGAGTTATGTTGTTATGCTTAGACACCATATCTTAATAGGATTGTTGGGATATTGCATTTTGAGTTTTCTAACCTTATATAATTGAGTTATGCGTATTTTTTTGCTACAACATATTTGTATTTTTGAAAGATTTATTTAATTTTGTTCAGACTTTGTTCAAAGGAATTTTTTTCCAGAGTATATACATTTCGGGCCAGCCAAAGATTTGACTTAAAGTATCATCACAGAAGGTTAACAAATAGGTGAAATCTCGTCAGAGAGGGAGCACCTAATTCTAGCTATTAGTTTATCAACCCCTAGAGATGGGGATAGGGCAGGCCGACCTACAGGGGTCTATAGTCTTAGCTTATTTAAGGCCATGATAGGCCAGATCTATTTGATAAAAAAAATCAGGCTTAGACTTTTTTAAAAGCCTATTTAATTGAATAGGTCAGACTTAGGTTATTAAAAAAACCTAATGAAGCCTTATAGGTCGGCCTATATTTTCATATATATTAAAAAACAGTCTAAATAGGTTGATATATATACATACATATTAGAAAAAAATGCTTAATAGGTCGGTCTATATATGCATATATAGACCGACGTATAAGACATCTTAAGTAATATGGATTAATTGAAAACCTTAATAAGAAATCGAATTTTAAATAAGCTTTCAGACTAAGCCAGACATTTAAAATGGCTAAGCTAGACAAAAAAGAGAGCCTATAGTAGGCCATAGGGCAGGATCAGACCTTGTAAGTTTATCGTAGACCAGACTTAGGCCTTTTAAAGCCTAGTCTACCCTAACTTATTTCCACCCCTATCAACCACTATCAGATATGATGAAATGGGTCCGTACGACTCATGCTCGACCAAGCGAAGACGGTATTAATCGCTTACCATATATAAGTCTTGTCACACATCATAACATGTATTCTCATATTCTCACTCTTGCAAACTACATCTCTCTGATTTCACTAACTTGAGTGTTGGTGCGTTAACCTTGAAGATTCATCATACTTCACCGCACCTGGAGGACTTTTTCCATTTGTAACACTAAAATTTTGTTCTGTTGTCGAAAGTGTGTGTGTGTGTGTGCGCGCGCGTGTGTATGTGTACGTGTGTATGTGTTGTGGAACCTTGTTTTGCAGGTAATATGTTTTTAACATAGACAACAATTTTATTTTTGATGATGACAACCTTTGTCTAAAGATGAAAACTGATGGTGACAGGTCAAACATATGTGGTTAAGCGGTTATAGATGCAAACCAAATTATTAAGGTTTGTTGGACATGACTATCCGATGATAGAAACCTAGTGGAAGTTAACTCAAGTCTCATCTCAAGTAAATTCAAGCAAGTGTTTACAAGAAAAAAGTATTTGACAAAGTCTTGACATATAAGAAAACACTAAGTAGCCTAAGTGCACTCTACTTCCATCAACGCCCTTGTAGTAAGCCCTATGGAAAAAAAGAAGGTCCCCTTAAGATCCATTTGCCTAAACCCCAAGGTCATAATCCTTCACTACCTTCTTACAATAATCATGTTCCCAAGGATTATAAACCATGGCTTTGTAGTTAGGGAAGATATAGTACCCATATGGCTCCTAATCCAAGAAATCTCAACTAATTGGATATAAGGTATATTCAACCACATGATCCGATGTAGAGAAATACCATCTGCAGGGCTGACCTATGGACCAATCATTACATAACGTCTTATCAACTTCAAAATTGACACCATGGAGGAAGAAGAAGACTTAGCAAACCATAAGATCACTTATATCTCTTTGAAAGAAATTAGAGTTCATATCAAGCATGGAGAGATAGATAAAGACCCATCTTTTAAGGAAGAAGGGGAAGATGAACCAACTGAGGAAGAAGACAACAAGATAGACAAGTTGTTGAAAACTTGCCTATATCTAGCTTAGGATATGAAGAAAACCATGGCTAGGAATGGTGATGCTTATAGAGTCGAATGATCTTACTTATATGCTTTTTCTACAATCTTCCTCCTTGTACTTTTAATTCCGTAAAATTTTCGTTCTGCAAATTTCAGTTTTAGTAATTTCCACTCTTGTACTTTGAATTCTAATTATCTTGTTACCTTTGAATAAGATAGTATTATCCTTTTCTTAAAGGCTTACTTGCCTATGTATGCATATTTTTATTTCTCTCATTGCATGTTTACCTGCCTTTTTTTATTTTGACAGCAGGGGATACGTATACTCTTAAAGGGAGTGGAGTATACTCTTTGTTTAATTCAGGAGGAGTTTGATTACTCCAAACACATATGTGTTATTTTCTTGACCACTTCCCATGAGAGATGTGTTGTCATCATCAAAAGGGAAAAATGGGGAACTTTATTTTGCAAGTTATGTGCTTTTAACAAGGATAACTATTTTAATTTTGATGATGACAACCTTTGATTAAAGATGAAAACAAATTATTACAAGTCAATCATAGGTAGTTAAGTGGTTAAAGATGCAAACCAAATAATTATGGTTTATTGGACTTAACTATCGGATGATGGAAACCTAATGAAAGTTAACTCAAGCCTCATATCAAGTAAGCTCAAGCAAGTGTCTACAAAAAGGAAAGTATATGACAAAATATTGAGGTATAAGAAATACCTAAGTAGCATGAGTGAAATCTACTACCAGCAATGCCTTTCTAATCAACCATATGGGAAAGAAGAAGGTCCCTTTCAGATCCATTCACCTAAAACCCATGGTCAGAATCATCCACTTCATTCTCACCAGAATCCTGTTCCCAAGGATCATAATTGTGGCATTGTAGTTAGGGAAGGCGTAATACCCTTGTGGCTTATAACCCAAGAAATTTCAACCAATTGGGTAGAAATTATATTCAACCACATGATTCGGTGCAGAGAGATCCCATCTGCAGGGATGCCCTATGGACCAATCATCACACAACCTATGGCCAACTTCAACATTGACACCATAGGGGAAGTAGAAGACTCAATAAACCATAGGGTCACCTATACTTCCCTGAAAGAAATTAGAGTTCATCAAGCATGGATAGATAGAGAAAGATTCATCTTTTAAGGAAGAAGGGGAAAATGATTCATTTGAAGAAGAAGATACCAAGATAGACAAGGTCTTGAAAGTTTCCCAAAATTTATTGTAGAACATTGTCAGGGACCAAAGTTCAATTCAAGAAATAACTGAAGAGAAACGGTCAAGAAAGACTTTACCCATTGAGGAATGAACTCAACTGGGGTTTATCTTTATCCAAAAATGAAAAATAAAACTAAAGCAACCATATTCCACGAGAATCGAACTCAGTGAGGAATTAAAAAGGATATGCTCTTTCTGCTTAGGGTTGACGACTCTACTTGGAGGGAGAAGACAAACCCAATCAATTGGGGTTAAACACGGCCAAAGTAAACAAACAAACAAAAAAACACAAAAATGCAAAATGCGCAGATGCCATGTATCCATATGAATGAATGTATGTTATGTTATGCTTATCATGACAAAATAAACAAGGAGAAGTAAACCGGAGATGAAATAAACATCACGACACGGATACTCGGCCAATCTTCACAAGATAGAAGCATCACTGGGGTGAATGGAAAGCCACACATAAAATCACAGTCTTGCTTCAAGGCTTCAAACTTCTCTGGGGAAAAAAGAGCACTTCACTTGGGGATATTATATCATGACTTCACTTAAGGGATTGTCAATATGAATCTCACTGCTCTGTTAGGATAAGAAAGATTCACTGAGAAAGGATCAAACTCATGATTGAAAAAACTTCATAGGGGATAAAATAAATATCCACTACAAACTGAAGTAGACTAAAGCTTTGAATTCCATGAAACTTTTATGAACATGATGTATGCTTAAACACAAGTATACACAGATCCACATATACACATATACATTCAAACAGACAAAGACTTAGGTTTAAAAATCAACGAGCCTGGAGTAATGGTCTATCCATCCCAAATGGTGTGGATAAGGGTTTATTATACCTGCAGAACAAAGGTTCTAAAAAAATTCTCAAAGTCATCAGTCCGTCTTTTGGATATTATCAATTTCTCAAATACTCGATAGTTAATAATATTCTCAAGAGAACCTCTTACGAGTGTAGTATCGCAAATGAACTATTTTGGGACTACTCCCTCATAGTCATCGCACTACGTCTTAAGAAGGGACAAGTTGAGTTAAAGGTAACTAAAGGTTCCAAGTATCATAGGCTCCTAGGTCAAAAATAGTAAGTGTTTTCACGAATACTCGCTCAACAGTACTATTCTCAATAGGGCCTCAACTGAGCGGTGATCTCTCAA